TTCAATTCTTAGACACGGCTCAAAAAATCTTTGGACTTGTCCAGAAATTTTATTCGAAGAGCGTGAATTCCGAGGACTGCATTCATTATTTGCGGCAGCGTCCACCAGCGTCTACTAGCGTCCACTAGCGTTTCGAGCCACGAGTCCGGCAACATCAAGCATTTCGGAAAGTGTAGATACTGATCTAACATCTGCCAGCGTCTCTCACCGTCCACCAGCGTCTCGTGGCCTGGGAAGCATAGGTATCGCTCTAGTGTCTACCAGTGTCCGGTAGAAGAGAGTACGGTGCGATGGAGGATGGCAGACAGCTGGTGCCCTCCTATCGTGCCATACTCTCTACCAGCGGTCAGCCACTCTGCTATCTCCCCATACTCTACCAGCTGTCTGCTGTCCTCCTATCGCGCCATACCTCTCCCGGGCGCTGCTAGACGCTGGTGCACGCTCGCATACACTGGTAGCGCCGGAACGATTATACTTCCCGTGCTCTCGAGACGTTGATGGACGCAATAGACGTTAGCGAGCTGGCAGACGCTAGATCTAGCGATATCTACACTTCCGTCTGACTGACGCTGCCAGATGCTCAGTACGCTAGTGAACGCTGCCGCAAAGTATGCCACAGCCTCTGAATACTTTCAGTGGCCTTTTGTCTCTGATAAACGACGGAATCTCGTAGATATTCAGTTTTACGGTGAACCTTCAATTTCAGGTTGCGATGCCTAACTTGCGAATGTTAGGAGTAGCGGCATTAATTCCGGTGCGTTCGATGAATTCTCTCGATATTGAACTAATGAAATACCTTCAGTTCTTTGCAATTTGCTTTGTTCGCAATGTATATGGACGAGACGATGATATGCTCTGGATATTTATGATATTATTTGTGTTCTTCGCAGGAGTTTTCTTTGGGCTCACAGTGAAGGAAGACAGACCCGTCAACCGTCCACATTTTTATGAAAGAATGCATTAAATAACTATAAATTTCCTGATGAACCTCTGAGTCAGTTGAGTTGTGATGTTTGATCTTGTTGTACGTTGCATTTTTTATATTGACTTTTTTTTCTAATGAACATGTAACAGTATGTGTGGAACATGTGGATCATTGTAATATCTTGAATCCCGCTTTTCACAGTGAAAGTGAAGAAGAGCAATTAGGCTGCGTTCATACTTTGCGCAGCGTCCACCAGTGTTCCGAGCTGCCAGCAGCGTCAGCGACTAGGGAAGTGTAGTATCGATCTAGCGTTTGTCAGCGTCTGCCAGCGTCTATCAGCTTTCGGTAGTGGAGAATGGTAGGAGACAACTGGAATCCTCCTAACGTACCATACTCTCTGCCAGAGGACTGCGGTTGGTCGGTGGTGGATGTCGCGGACGCTAGCTCGATATCTATACTTTCTTTGTCGCTGACGCGCTCGGAACGCTGATGTACGATAGACATTGGTCGCTGGTGGATGCTGATGCAAAGTATGAATGCAGTAATACCGCCGGCACACTACTTTGCTTCATTCTGAAGACTACTGTCTTTACGAAAGCCCAGCCAGACACCTCCAAATCATATTCTCAGCTGGACGCAGGGAGAAGGTGACTTCCCTATGATAAGACCCGCCTCCCTTCAGCGATCACAAACGTCCTCTTCGTTAGAGATCCCCAACGTACGACTACCGATGTTTCCTCATTTACATGGTCCTAAGCATATGGTTCCTTCTAGGTACCCGTCTTATGGTTAGAATTAAGGGCAGACTTCGCAAAAAGTGCGTAGGTGGCGTTGAGAAACAGAAATGTATGTGCTAATTGACTTGCTCGTAAATAAAAAAGAAAATTAAACTGTCGGAGAAGGCTTCAAATAAGGTCCTACTCCTGCCAAGCAAAAGGCAAACAATCGATATGGATATCGGGAGAGAGGCCAGAGAAACGCGAAAGAGCATGAAAACGCGGGAGAACGCAATAAGACACGTATGAATTTGGGCGGAGTCACTTGAACAACCTTGTACCTTACCGCCGCTACCTTGCCACTTTCTGACGTAAAACTTATACAGGGTTGTTCGCTGCAGCTCACACTACCTGTCCAGACGAAGAGTTTAACTAGTTATAAGTGATCGTGGGTTCTGCCTTTCATGACGGACCAATGAAGAAGGCCTAGTTATAGGCCCAGCACTGCCCATCACATCAATGATAATGTCCCCGGCCATGTGAATAGGACTATTTGACACTCTGAGATCGCCATGAACGTTTTCACATTGCTTTTAACTGTGCCTATTAATCGATTACTGCGATATATTCGCGATCGGGCCTGACTCACTCGTTCTCACATCACAACAGCCGTCTTTCTTCTGCTTCCTTTCGAATGACCCTCAGCTGTTGAAGCACGTTTATATCGCAAGGTTCGTTTATTTCGCTCTGTAATGGAATTTTTAAAAAAAAAATTATTACCTGTCGACTTTAGTGGACCACGCTCAGGCATATCATCATTGAGGATTTCCCGAGGGGTGGTCGCTGTGGGGGGAGAAGGGGTCGAATTAGGTCTGGGGAAAGTTTCGATAGTTGATTTTTCTTGTTTCAAGGACCCTAAATTGCGGTTGGTGCACTTGCCTTCTGCGTGAAAGAGGGCGGGTGGCGTATTTGCCTTCCGCGCTAAAGGAGGCTCGCCTCCTGAGAGAAATTTGCGGCGTCGGGAAAAATTTCTCCCCGCTGTTGACTTTTCGCGGTTTTTCCTGTTTCACATGTGTCATATGTTCTCGCCACCGCTCAATAGCAAACGACACCAAAATTTTGGGGAAAAGGTAGGGAAATTTTTTGGAAAGCATCAGAAAAAGTGGAAAAAGTGGTGGACGGTTGCAAAACCTAGGAAAGCGGTAGGAGGGACGAAGAGGGAGTTCGTTCTCCTCGGAAAATTTCCCCGGCCGCAAAACGTGCAAGAAAGCGCAACATCCCAAGACCATAAAAAGGAGAGGGTAGGTAGTACCAAGCCATATTTCAGGGGGCGGGGGTCATACAGACCAAAATTCCCAACACATGCTCAACAAACTAGTGGACATCTTTCCTTGTCTAAATGTCTAGCACGCTAATTCATAGCTTGTCCCATATTCGCAAGTTCAAGTAAGTTCTAGTAGCCGTTCGGTTTTACCGCCCACCTACAAATGTCCACTTCAGAGTTATCGCACGGGCGCTCACTTGCTGGTCGGTACTGGGGCGGGCACAGACCAAATTGCGTCTCCACTTTTCGGGCATCGAATTCGTCCGATAGCGTTCTTCAAATCCCTCTTCACAGGACGCTCTTGAAGGCTCTGCTCTGCCACCTTTCGTTTGGTTTCTTCCTCATCCTATGAAATCACATTCACGATGGTCGTTAGGGTAGAGTGGAACCTACCAGCAAGTTTTCTTCACTAGTGTGTTTTTCATTAGACTGCGTTCCTATTTGCGGCGGCGTCCACTCGCGTTCCGAGCGTCCGGCAGCGTCTACAAGCGTGCGCTAGCATTTACCAGCGTCCGGGAGAGGAGAGTATGGCGCGATAGGAGGTAGCAGACAGCTGGTACCCTCCTATCGCGCCATACTCTCTACCAGCAGTCTGCACACTCCTATCTCCCCATACTCTACAGCTGTCTGCTACCCTCCTATCGCGCCAGAGTCCTCTGTCCCGAACGCTGCTAGACGCTGGAGGACGCTGGCAGACGATGGAAGACGCTGGATCGATATCTATCCCTAGTAGTTGACGGTGCTAGATGCTCGGAAAGCTGGTGGACGCTATTGGCCGCTGGTTGACATTGCCGAAAAGCGTGAACGCAGCCTGACGGATAGAGAAAGCTCACTGAGAGGAAAACACAACGACAGATCTGACGCCATCTATACGTCCAGCTTTTAGAGTAGTGTTGAAAGACATAGACACGATATGTAGCAGTTGTTATTGGTCAGCAATTAGAATCTGGTTTTGATTATGCGTGGGTGGTGGAGCTGAGGCGAGAATGAACGACAGCAGCAGCCCTAGCCACGACTATTACAGGGCGGAAAATGTTGGCTTGGAAATTCCCAACGTCCTTGCCAAGCACCATGGATTAGCACAGTTCCTTCTGCACACCAGCTTCAGCACTTGAATCAAAGACTTTCTTCGTCTCGTTCTCTAACCACTATCACACTGAGTCTGGAAGATCAGTGAACGGATCCTACCTATTGGAGGGCAGAAGCGGGCAGGTAAGGAGTCGATGTCGCGTGCAGTCCTTCGCTTTGTCGCACCTACTCCTCCTCCCGTAATCTTAACATGGAATGTCCCTCTAAATAACAGATTTGGTCGCGCAGCGGCGAGGAGAGCGGAGAGCAGGGCACGCCATCGTTGTGATGATCACAACGGGGGTCGTATTTGACCGCGAGGGAGGGGGGTCGTATTTGGTCAGAGAAAATTTTTTGATAGTTGATTTCTCTTGTTTCACGGACGCTATAAAGGGGGGGGGTCGTATTTGGTCGTTGTTGGGAGAGGGACTGCCAAAGATCTATACAACTACTATTTCCGATAGTTGAAAATGATAGTAAATTCTGATGACCTCCCCCCCGCTCGACAGCAAAATTTTGGGGAAAAAACCATAAATTTCGGGGAAAAAACATGGAAAAAGTGGTAGAAGTATAGAAATCTAGAAAATGTGGGGTAGCATGGTGAGGGGGGAGCTCGCTATTATGAAGACGGGAATAGAAAGGGGGGTCGTATTATCCATATTTAGATGATCACAAGCGCATGGCGGGTCTCTCGGCGCTGAGGCGTTCTGCATTCTTCATACTTCACTACTTCCGGTTTACAAGTCTCACCCTAGTGAAACCTGTGAACTCTTGTGAAGCTGGAGCAAAAGCCACCTTGGTAAAACCTGTCAACTCAGGAAAATGCTATCTAGTGGAGTCAAGAAATCCATGGGAAGCAGCAAAAGGCAGTATATATCATCCCCTTCTCCTCGTCGCCGAATTGCCCTGATTTGGTAATACTGAGCCTCACACTTATACTTTTTCTTGGCTTTCAGGTACGTTAGCAATGTGTAAATGCATTTTGCTGTTTATAGCGCTTTTCTTCCCGGTAGGTTTTTTTCTCGTTTTCACAGCACAGAGACAAATGTCGTTTTTCTGTCGATTTCAGGGACCGGCGATTCTGATGGATCGCGGATGTGGTAGCGACTTTCTTGCGACATGTTGCCTATCGATATTGTTTCATCTTCCTGGTGTAATCTACGCGTACGTGTTGCTTCTCCGAAAGGAACCTCCAAACTCCGTCGTGGTCGTCACCCATGTGACTGTGCCGCCAGAGTATCCGAGCAGGCCACAAACGCCTTCAGAACCATACGAAGATACGCAAATGATTTACGGATCCACGGAGGCTCTTGTTAAATGAATTATTATTTTTTTTCGAGATTGCTCTGCAGACTGCTTTGACTTTCTCTGTTTCAAATTTTTATGAAGGGTGGTCATACTGGTTGTAGGGCGCAGCTCAGTGGGAGGGGGGGGGGCACTTTGCTTCTTCGTTCATTGCCGATGACTCATAAGACCTGACCGATGATCTGTGAACACTTGCAAGCTGCAATAGCACGAGCTTCGTTTACACTCGAAAGCCTCATGACTCACCACGGTGAGACGGGTAAAAAAGTGATTACTAAAATATGCACACAAATAGGGAAAGAAACTTGCGAAAGTGCAAAGTGCCCCCCTCCCCTTAAAGCCGGACGGCACCGTTATAAGACCAAGATTTGTTATAAATGTTTTCAATGAATCTTGCAAGGAATGTTCCACTTCACTTATCCGGTTGGCTTGTAGTCTAGCTCGCTGCTGACGAAGGGGCGTGTCAGACGGGATGACTTTGGAACGGTGCCAAACCCGTTCACCATCGGTTGTTGATGCAACCAAGTGACAAGGCTATCAGTCGTTCGTGCCACTCGTTTTCTATCGACTGCTCTCGCATATCCGCTTCAACAACTGGCCGGGACGGGCTTGACACCGAAGCTCACTCATACTGCCTGACACGCCACTTCATACGTAGATTAAAGTACACCTTCCATCTTACTGATTCATGCGTATCTTCGGATCACGGTAAAAAACGTGCAATCGTCAGCCTCCAGAGACATCTCTAGCTGCTGCCGTCCGCCATCGAAAGAACCAAATCGCCGATATTGCAATTGAGCCGCGCACTGGGGAATGTGAGCGCCACATGTATAGGATGACATGGTTTGGAGAACAAGGAATGACGAGATTCTGACTCATAAGTGGATAAAAAAAACCATAAAAAATTGTTGTTCAGCGAAGGAATCCATTGATTTCAAAAATGACCATTGTTTCAAAGAAAGCGATCATGCTGTCTGTCTGTACGACCGCTCGAAAATTGAGTACTAAGTAGGATACCACTTTCATGGAAAAGATCATGCGCATGTGCCATGGGCCAACATTTACAGAACACATACAAGGCAATCTAGGCTCCGCCCACAATGGGCGGGCGTGCGCAGAAGTGAACGGTGTCGAGAACAAAAATTTTCAAAACGCACCTGAGCAATCACCACGGATTAATATGTATGTTCATGGGAGGGAAGCCACATGAAGTAAGGGAGAGAAACCCCGGTGAATGGTATGTGCACCGGGTTGGTGGTGCCTGCTTCAAAAGTTCATAATTTCGCCTCAAGACACATGAGAAATGCAGTGAACAGGGCATGGAATGGGTGTATGGGATCAAAATCAAGAATTTGTAACTTGGCTGTATTCACTTATTTGTTTATTTACTTATTTATCCCTTGTTTACTCTACAACAACTCAAATACATCATACTTCCACTTAAGTTCATCCAGTGAGCGTACTTAACACTCCTTCCTTCTACAAAATTCACAACTGTCCACAAGGGGGGGGGGTTGCCAAAGGCGGGCGATCCAGTTGGAAATTCAGGGACTCACTTCACACGCACAAGTAGAATCGCCCGCCAAAGGTCGTCACAGGCTCCAATACTTGCCTTGCGTCTCTCCTGAGAGTTCGATGATACAGAGAAATAGTGGCAGGCTACCATGCCCTATGCAATAGCAGGACGGGCCAGACTTTGGCTTGGGCGCTACCTCCTTGGCGTATTGACTCTTGGTTGCCGCAATCATTTCTCCTCGTTCATACTTTTGGGTGTACTTGAAGTTTAACAGTGGTATAACGGACTTTCCTGTTTTTGTCTGCTAAAGGAA